TCACAAAATACACACACAAACATCCATACATCCAACTGAATTTTCTAATTTTCGTTCCTTAAATAACTAAATATTAATTAATTCCAGCACTAGATTAATAAATATCGCAAAAAATTTTAGAGGCAGCCACTACGTCACCGAGGCTGATGTTCCTCAGCTGTTGTATATTAAAGAAAACCTATACCATGTGAATGAATGAATGAATCAATCGATCAATCAATGAAGGGTCTTGGGTTTAGTACTATTCAGGAAAAGTAATGTTTATTAGTCAACGGTTGTGAAATCCAACTCATCCTATCAAAAGAAGAATTGAATGAATTATCGAAAATGCTTAAAACTATTGGCTAAGTAATGATATAGAGTTTGTCCTCAACTACTCATTCAGCCCCAAATACAGATATATAATATATACAGATATATAATATATGCAGATATATAAGCTCTTTGGATGATATTTAAACAAGAAGATGCCAATAGCTAAAATCAGATTGGTAGCTCAGATAAGGCTGATGGGAAAAAGACATGCAACGAAAATCTATTTTGATAAAAAGTCATCAACTTCCAGCCAGAAGAGAACTGCCCATTGTAAAAAAAAATGTAAAGATACAATTTTCCATCTCCTTAGCAATTGATCTATTTTCAATGGCATTAGAATAAAAAGTTATAGGTACCACAGAGCTATCCACAAATTGTGTGGAAGCCATCTTAAGAGTAGAAAACAGAATTGATCTTAATAAGCGTATTACTATTTCTGTCATTGTCTTATACTAAGAAATTTATTATTAGACTGTGAAGGAATGTCTGATAATAATATTGAGATGAAATGAAATGAAAATGAAATAAAAAAAACATTTTATTGTTCTGGGACTGTTGTCCCTTTAGAACAAATTATAAGTACAGATTGTATGTCTGTGTCGTCACAATTAGATTATATATTTACAATAAGAGTCGACTAAAAATAAAATACTCAAGAAGAGAAAGAAAACAACAAGAAAATCGTACATATATATAAGAAACTAAAATAACCTAAATAAATTGAGGTAGTCTCTGGGGGTGCTTAGATATTTCCCTTAAATATATTTCGCAATCTGTCGAATTGAGAAAGGATCAAGTGTTTAAAGAGGAGAGGTTTGGAAGAGGAAACTGATTGTGCGTGTCGAATATCAGCAAGGATGAAATTCCAGAGGGTCCGTTTGGCGTGACCTCTACACTAAAATGACTTAATAAAGAGATTATATAGGCCAAACTGACCAATAAATTAGTAGGTCACCTTTTGTTTCGACTTAGTAGTCATATTATCTTACAATTCAAGTGGGAAGCAAATGGGTATCTACGAATTTTTAGTACCTGATTAAATAGACAAAGTTAGACGATATTCAGATTGAATATTCCCCAATTCCGAGAATATTCTTAAATAAAATATTTGTAGGTTATGATAAGATGAAACTATTTGCGAAGTAATAGGAGGATTTTGATAATTTAATAAAAGGGGTTCACGCCACGAATTGTAGTGATGCAAATATTGATAAGAAAAAAAAAATCGTTTAATTAAGGAACTGATTTTCTCTTTTTCCATAAAATAAGAAAGACATGGAAATCTTAACTCTCCTCATTTTTAATTTAAATATAGTTATCTGAGAAGGAGTTGATCGGGGGGTGTGGTCAAAGAAATACTAAATTAAACAAATAGTATATTATTTAATTTTTGCCGACGTTTCGACCCACTTTGCAGGTCTTCATCATGGCTACAAAAGTTACAAAGCATGGTGAAAATAAAATAAATGAATATAAGTAGATATAAAATAAGAAGAAGTTGTCTGATACAGAAATAAAAAGATGATATCAGAGATATATTGGGTGACAATGTAGTTAAAATATCAAGTATTATATATAGAAGATACAAACAAAAATGGAAAATAAGTATGAATAAAAATAGAAAATAAAGGAGAATATTGCATGTAAGTTAAAAGTAAACAGATTGCGATAAAAGATAAGGAATGGATGTATAACAAACTAATAAAGATTACATTTGATAACTGTAGGTTAAGAGATAAAGAAAATGAATGTTAACGAATAAATAGATTGAAAATTGAATAAGTATTGATAAAGTAAAGCTAAAATAAGAATAAGATAACATAATAATAAGAAATCAGTGGATAACAAGCTAGTGGAGGTTACATTTGATAACTGTAAGTAAAGAGATAACGAGACTAAAGGTTAAGAAGTAAAAAAAAATTGACAATCATCTCTACATCATTAAGCAGACCCTACACGGTAATTCATGAATGAACGTCACAAGAAGTTCCAAGATTGCCCGCTATCGCTTTGATCATGAAGACCCTTACACGTTCAATCATTACTGATCATTACTTATGTGAAGTTTCCACTTTTTTTTCTCTCCAATTTATTGCCTACTTGACTATTTAAAGAAATAATAGTTGAAAATGGTTAATAATAATATAGACTAGGGATATAAACAACTATTTACTTTTATGAAATTATTTACTTAATAACGAGACCTAGGTAAACTAACCTATCTAGTAGTAAGATTAGTCTCATAGAAAATCGTTTTGACAAAAGTTAGTAAAATATAAGTCTACTACTTACAAAACTTAAGGAAAGGTATTGCGAAAATAATAAATTTGTTGAAGAAAATGGGAAAAGAACTGATAAATATACACAACGTTAAAGTTTTTTTTTTTCCTAAAGTAAATTGTGAAGTTTCCTCATTTTTTTTTAATTTGTTGCCCACTTGACTATTTAAGAGAAATAGTTGAAGATGGTTTATAAAATATAAACAAGGGATATGAAAAATTATTTAACTATTTACATATAATGAAAATCAGAAATTTATAATGGTTATGAGGCCCAGGTAACCTAACCTATCACTTCTCGTGAATGAACCTTTGATTTCCGGATGTTCGGAAATCCGCAGCGCACCACCATCAGTACTTCATTCACTACCTTACACGACAATTCGGAACGTCATTAGTGCAATTCCGATTGACCGTGTAGGGTCCCCTTAATAAATATAGTTATCAAACAAGACGGTTTGAATCGATAGGTATCGAAACGATCTGCACCCTACCGTAGCTATCGATAGATCCTTATCTATAAGATATTTATTTTATTAGAACTCCTTTCTCCTGAACGAGAGGGAAATATCGCAGAGCGGGGGCGATAGAACGCTCCAGATGCGGTGTGCACTCTTCCACTACGACCCACTCAACTTGCACCGGCCTCGTTGTTCGACCAATCGTTACCCGAGCAGCTGGTGCTAATTGTTACTAATTGTACATTCCACGCCACGAACTATCGAAGCCAGAGCCGTATCGATTCTTCGTTCGATAAGAAGAAATTAAGCGAAAGTTTTGGAGCACCAGTTAAAAAATAGACTAGAAAGCCGTGAAAAGGTGTTCGCAGGCAGTTAACCATATACATATATTAATAAGGTCCGTGAAATATTGCATTCTCGAGATGGAACAAAACTTTTTACATATTTATTGAAATTACAACTGTGGGAGAGTTCGGGCTGATGTTCCCCCTTTCCTCCCAAATGGTATAATATAATTGTGTAACATGAAAAAAATATTTAATAATTATCTCTTCCTCAAGGTAGTATCCTTGGTCCTATCCTTTACACAGTTTATACAGCTGATATCCCAACCCATCCTAATACTGTCATCACTACGTATGCTGATGTCACATGTATCCTGTCAGTTAATAATGATCCAACAATTGCATCCCAAACTCTTCAATCACACATCACAAACCTTGAAGAATGGTGTCAAAACTGGAGGATTAAAATAAATTCCAATAAATCCCATCAAATTACATTCACCCTTCGTCGTAAAGCAATGACTTCCTGTCCTTCAGTATTCTTTAACAACACCTCACTTATCCCTGTTGAACAAATCCGATACCTAGGACTCCAGCTGGACAAACGTCTCACTTGGAATCCTCTTTCAAGACTGAAACGACAAGAAACTGCTCGACGTTTCCGCTTACTCCAACACTTACTGGACAAACGCTCTAAACTTTCAATGAATTACAAACGACTCATATGACTATAATAAGACCTATTTGGACTTATGGAGTTGAACTGTGAGGCTCCACTAAACCATCAAATTCCTCTCGTATCCAATCTTTACAATCCAAAATCCTTCGTAAAATCCTCAATGCTCCTTACTTTGTCACAAATAAAATAATCCATAAAGACCTCAATGTTCCATATGTTTCCGATTTGGCCAAATCCAGATACCTATCCTTCCATAATAAACTTCATAACCATCCGAATCCTCTTGTTTCTAACCTTGCTTCCTCTTCGATTCCTTATAACCATCCGAGGCGTCTGAAAAGGAGATGGCCTCGTGATCTCCTCATGTAGACAAATTATTAGAGTGCTACCAATGGGTAGTTTCTCAACAAGCGTGTTTCATGTGATAATATTCCTATGTACACATTTACTTGATGTATTCATACTAATACAGTTGTAAATATCATAATAAAAAAAAATAATAATCTCTAAAAGTATTATTTTCTTATTTTATTACGAAGCCTTTGTTTATAATTTTTTTCATATTTAAGGCAATACTTCCAATTTTCTTCAAATTCTTTTGATTACATTTGTACTAACGTTTCGGGACAATTTTCCCATCATCCGAGCCATCTTTATCTTCACTTTCTTTTTTTGATGTGGCACCATTTGTTGAAAGTATATCGCGCATATACCAATTATTAACATATAGCAACTTAGATTGTCAGGTATTAGTGACTATTTTGCCTTAATTTTTATTTAAAAATCGATTTTTTTTACCAGTCCTGGTCTTGGTCTTGCAACAGTTAGGCAAATTGCAAGACCAAGACCGATTTTGGGCAACACGGACTAGGGTCTGTACCACCTCATGTTTGAACTGACCAAAAAATTGTAACAAAAATATTTATGTTCTATTACATGTAATTTATTAAAAATTAAATAGCCTATTATGTTTAAAACTCACCTTATTATTTCTTTGAAAAAACGCAATATCACTTCTGTTATCTGTAAAAAAAAAAAAAATAAATAAATAAAGTAAGATTTACAAAATTTCTTATTTAAATAGGTATATATATATACTCTAATACTTATTGCTCTAAGTGTGACATGGCAGCTTATATTATTTCTCAATGAAACTTTTATTTCCAAATTTTTAATGAATTAAACGGTTTATTCGATCCTCATGAATGAACTTTTATCGATAATGTCAATGGCAAGAAAGTTGTGAATGAAACCTGAGGCTTTGGCTGTGGCAGCTGTAATTAGATGTGAAGTAGCCCCCGCGCCCGGTAAAGGCGAGATGCCCAGAATTCCTCAAGAAGCCAGTTTATGAATGGAGAGTTCTCGAGGAGAAAGTTCTCAATGGCCTCCTCTCTATCTCTCTTAGCTCTTTTCGTCTCGGGGATTATGTTTCCATATTGTAACCGATACTGATAGTGTATTCATCTATATTTTCTAACTGTTCATTGTTTATCTACATAACTTGGTATTTCTAATGAAGTTGTCGAAAAATTCGCAATGCATATTGTTACCAAATACCAAATAAATAAGAAAAGAAAATAATGCAACGTATCAAAAGTTTAAGACATGAAATGTTACTTTATCGATAAAATCCACAAAGAAAAAAATTAATTTAAACCTTCATTTTTGTTTGTAACCAACATGTTTCCAAATTATAGTAAGCTGTATCTTTGTTAAAAACTGTCCGATTTCGATGATTTTTTTTCCCTTTATTAGTGAATTCAGTAATCTTTTATATAATTATGGGCATAACCAAGAGAAAAGTGTGTAATTTTTCAGTTATTCGCAAATAAAGTTTTTTTTTTTTTCATAACTTGTTTGCCTGAATTTTCTGGGTGATTGGACTATTTTGCCCGCCTGAAGGAGAAGGAAGCTTTCGAAATTGGTGGCTCAATCTTGAGATTCGGTGAAAAATTAACGATGATATGGCTTGCCGATCAAAAACACCATCGATAAATAATATAAACTCCTCCTCTCTCGATCATAGAGGCCTCAAGTCGACGGAATGAGACATGTATTCAATGACAGTACTACAATTAACGTAAGGTTATGTGGATGCGAACCCTATGCCTTGCGTTATCTGGAAAATAGTACGTTTTTGGGCTTAAAAAGGCAGGATCCGATATCCGGTTCTTGCAGTACGCATCAAAATCTTCAAGATTCAATTTGTCCATTATCGATCTACAGACCTACCACCGTTCCAGTATTGAAGTCTAGCAAAATGTTTGTATCGAATTTATTTATTTTAGAAAGAAAAACAAAAATGGAGAATACGATTCGCTAAACCCCCGTGAAATTCTGAATCCAACGGTCCCCCATTCATGGTATTTGAGCATGAGCTTATATTTGGTACAAAACCGATTTCAAGCCTTACTGTAATAATATATGTGGGGATAGTCCATGCCAAACGCCTTTATTACAGATTATATTATGGATCTATAATAATATAACAGAAATTATATTATTAATTTTTAAAAGGTTAGAGATAAATATGTTCTATAGAAATCAATCAAAGTAAATATTAGATAGTGTCAATTGCATGCTTATCAGGATGCCATCAAGTGATCGAAAAGGAGCTGGTTATGGGAATTCGTCCCCACTTGTATCCACTTGACCAAATGAAATATCTGATGTAATTTGTCTTTTAATTAATTTCTCAGCTTTTCATAAGGAAACAGCTGAACTATTTTCGAAGAAAAAGTATCAATTGTGACATAGTACCTAGAGGATAAGGACAAAATAAGTAGTATGTTACATAGTACCTAGAGTGTAAGGATAAATTAAGAAGAAAAGTACTTAGTACCAAGAGAGTTTTAGAATTTTTTTTTGAAAAAGGAGCAACCGAAGAAAAATCTTTCTTTGGAGTGAAATCATACTCAGTTATGCCACTGCGCACGCGAGAAAATAGACAACGGTTCGATTTGGAAGAGTGTGAGAGGCGCCTAATATATTTTTGTCCAGGGAGCCTACTAGTGTTGCCCGAAATCGGTACTGGTCTTGCACTTTGCAAGACCAAGACCAAAACTGGCAAAAAAAAAAAAATCGTTTTCGAGAATAAAAATCAAGGCAAAACAATTTCTTAACAATTTTAGTAACAATATGTAAATAATTGGTATAAACAAAATACTTTTACATTTAACTGTTGCAATTTTTCATTCGGGCTTAGTTAGGTTTCACCAACCTGAAAAATTACAGTAATATCTCTATAGTAATAAGACTCTTGCGCAAGACCAAGACCAAGACCAAGACAGAGTGCACAACACTAGAGCCTACAAACCATGTGACGGTACTGTTGTTAATTTTGAAATCTATTATTATTATGATTGCTATTAATACTGAGACGCGAACTCTTAATTATTTTATCATGTAAACTTCGCTTTATCAGATAAACGCGTTTTTGATCACCTTCCGTATTGATGAACTTCCTTATATCTTAAATGGAACAAGACGTATATTTGAAAGTTGCGTACATGACCTGAACGGGTACTATTCTTTATCAAATATATTAGCTTCCGTTTCTGTTCTTAAGAAAGATAAGACGAACAAGTCTTAGCAATTGTTGAGAATCTGTTATCAGTTTGAGAGCTTTGTCTTCGAAAACGTGCCTCATCTTCTTGTACGACAGAAGTCAAGTGGTCACGGTTATCACTCAGGACATTTTGAAAATATGTGGTAAAATACAATAAAACTTCTCAGCAGGGGACAACTGGGATGGGAAATCAAATTTTGTCCGCTATAGAGAGCTGTCCGTAAATGTAAAACTTAACTTATCAAAACTGCATTTGAAATGCAATATATAAATATTTAATTTATTATTTATTATTTATTATTTATTTATATAAATATTTATTTAAAATATAAATATTTATTTAAAATATAAATATTTAATATGTAAATAATTTGAAATATATAAATTAATTTTTTCATTCATTTAAAGAGAATAATATTAAATCTAAAACAACTAAAATGTTGATTTTTTACATATGTGAATATTCTGTGTACAACAAAATGAAACGTTTAGGAATATATTTACTTTCACTTACCTATATATGAAATATATAGTAAGGAACAGTATTGCGATCGTGAAAATGTTTTAATCTCAGTTTTCAACGGAAATACATGTTTTTTGAGGTCTCCTGAATCCAAATAACCAATCCAAACGCAAAATTGTCTGTGAGTGTGTGTATGTGTCGGTACGTATGTGATAGGTCTATCTCAAAAACGAAAAGTCGTATGAAAGTAAAATTGCACATTTAGGGTTTTTATATACCTGAGATGTTACAGCAACTTTTTTGTCAAAATCGGCTGACCTGAAGTGGCACTATATATCATCGATGAAACACATTTTTACTATTTTCTCGAAAACAGCTCCAACGATTTTGATTAAATTCCTTATATCAGTGTAAAATTGAGCGAAAATTTTTAATATTATGTAGGTTTTATTCTCATTGATGTTATGTAACAGGGCTTAAATGGCTAATTTTCAACATTAGCTTTTTAAAGTATCTTTAATTTTTTTTTATTTGAAAAAATTGACCATTTCACATTATTCTCTAATATAAAAGATAGTTAAATATAGAATATCAAAGAATTTTATAATTAACTAAAGGAGAAATAAGAGATCTTAACGGAGAATAGTTGTAATTGAGGTACCAAAGGAATTCGAGAGCACCCGAACTCGATCGAAAGATTAGAACATTCTTCCATACATAACATGAGATTAATATAATACAGACTCCGACAATATTATATAAATGTTAAAATTTGTACATATAAGCGTACTTAATCTAATAAAAATATTCACAATGAAATATAAATCAATATAGCGTTTTTAATTTTTACTTTCACTTTCCACTTTGTCTGAAAATACTTATTTCTGATAAAAGGGTGGTAAGTGAATGTTGTGTGATGCGCGCAACGTACCAGATCTTTCATATTGTGTGTACAAATAAAGGTTAATATTGTTCATTGAATGATCATTTTTACTTGTATATTTCCAAGTAATATATATTTTATAATCAATAATATATTTTATAAATAATAAAATTAAACGTACCTTTAGAAACAATTGCAAGCCAAAGAGAGGTAATCATTTTCGAGAGATATAATTGACCTAATTTAAAAATTTTGGTACCCAGTGGACGCAGAATTTGATGCTCTTTGACTCTATGAGATTTTTATCTTGCAGAACTCATGTCCAAGCTGCAGAGTCATTTATAGTCATCTATTTAATTTTTTGACAAATTTAGTAAAAATCAGGGTTCGTTGACAGTGGTTTTCGACCATACCACTTTACCAACTTTTAAATTTTTGGAACTCACTTGACTCATAATATAATGTTCTTTAATACTGATCTGCAGGACAATAATGAAAGACTTACGGACTTAAACTGTGAAGCAAAACTTTCTAACATCTAACGCACCCAATCCTTCCAGTCCAAAGTCCTTCGAACAATCGATGTTCCTTTCTATGTAACCAACAAAACCCTACACCAAGACTTTAATATCCTATTTGTCCTAGATCTTATTCCAGAAAAATTCTTACCTATCATCTGAATCCCCTTGCACAATCCCCATCCAGCACCCATCCTTATAATCCTCAAAGAAGATTAAAACGGCAATGGTCTCTCGACCTTTTTTAGTTTTTATATATTGGAGTTCTGGCAATGGCCATATTCTTCACTCACGACATGAATGTATCTGGCTAAAGCGCTCTCATTCATTCTCCACTGGGTTTAGCCTCAATGACGCGGTTGAGAGAGTAGTTCAGGGATCTCCTAGAGTCATGCTTTTCCCTCCACAGTTGGAAGGACAAATCTGGCTCGGATTTCTCTCTAATTTTCGTCTGGTTGAAAATAGTGTATATAGATATGAATGTGTTTTTTGTTTTATTTAGTTATTTTTAAGTTATTTTATTCTTATTTATTGTATACTTATATTTATGTATATATTATTTTTCTGTTTAATTTATTACACATATAGTGT